AATTTGAATATTGTAACGAGTTATGAATAATGTTAAAATATTATATAATATTATATAATAACTTGTAATATATCATAAATATACTTATGTATAATATCATAAATATAACGAGTATTAATAAACTGATATTAGTACTTGGGCGTGGGGATTGAAAGTTTTGATGTAAGATCGAGACGACAGATGCATATTCTGGATAAAAGTTTGCGGCGGGTTTGAAAAATTCGCCTGTCTATCTCCAAAATAGAAGATGGTACACGACTTGTTCCCGGAGTAAACGAAAGTAAGCGAACGACGCCGACGATCTCCCGGCTGGACCGAACAAACTGGCACGAAAGTTTCCCAACGAGGAGATTGTCGAAGGAGCTTCAACAGTCCCTCGTGTCTTTCTAATACTCATCGCGACGAAACTTTCGTGCTGAATAGAGAAAGTGCTAATTGTAATTAAAAGTTTGCTTTTCGCGAGAAGAAAAAAACTGTTGGGTCAGGGAGGACTTTGGGATTGGGATTCACAATTTCCCGTTGCCCCTCGTTGCGAGAAAACGTTCGCATCAAAACGCAAATCGCATTAAACAAATATATCCGACAACAATCCGACAACGCACACAGTGTTGAAACGTTTTACCCCGACAAATTGAATTCCAAGCCGCGCTCAATACCGATGAATAACACATCAACCTCGGCGGCAATTTTTCAGCGAATCTCGCGAAGCGTCGTCCGCCTAGTCGGTGAAAAGCCGACCGAATTTATGCGATAATCGTGATCTCTCGATTGCTCGGAGATTGGATTAGGCGCGGACGGAGATAATTCGTCCGCGCCTAATTCTGTCGTCTTTCTGTGTCGGCGACTGCGACTGTTTGCCGCGCGGCCGACGACGTCTTCGGCGTCGGACGTGCGCGAGAAAGCCCATTTTTTTTCTCCGCGGAATCTGCGGTTAATAGGACGTATCCGGCAGTCCTCGGGTCGCGTAAGATAAAAAACGCCCTGGCATAAAGGAGTCCTAATTGCGGACCGTCCGGCCCATCCGGCGAATGAGATCGAACGCGAATGTACGACGCGTAGCGAATGTCACACCTCGGACGGTTCGATTTCGCGAGTCGCGTGCATTTACGCACTCGCGC